TGAAAATACTCTTCAATTTCCTCATGCTACCTGTGCGGAAACTGACCTCTTTTCTCTTAGAAATTAACCTCTCTTATCCCATAGGGGAAAAAAACCATATTGCTCTTGCTTTTTCCCATTTCCTGCCCCTGTAGTATTTACAAATAAGCCTAGAAAGGTATCCACCCTGTGGTAAACTGATTGCATGAATGGCCCAAATTATTGGCCTCTCTTTTCCACACTTTTTGCCCTGCAATTTTGTAGTCCCTTCCCATTCTGACCCTAGGCTTGGCTATGGGACTTTTCTGAAGGCTTGAAAAGTTCTTGTGTGTTTCCACCTTCTTTATTTGGAACCCTGCCACAGCGTTGAAAAGAAACCCAGTCTAGAAGGATGACAGTACAAGCTACAGAATTGAAATGTCCTAGTCAAGACCAGCCTTGTCCTACCAGCCCCTGGTCAATCCCTCAGCCGACCACAGATATAATACAAACAGTCCCTAAGGCAAGATTTACCAAATCTGGTCCAGCAGCTACATTGCTGCCTCATTAGAAATAACAAATGCGGGTTTTTTTTTAAGATTTTATTTATTCATGAGACACACAGAGAAAGAGGCAGAGATACAGGCAGAGGGAGAGGCAGTCTACCTACAGGGACTTTGATCCAAGGACCCTGAGATCACAACCTGAGCCAAACACTGAGCCACTCAGGTGCCCAGTTTTGTTTTCATTGATGAAATTTGGGATGGTTTGTTATACACAATAACTAATACCTCCCTTTCTCTGTTCTCAGAGGAGGAAGTATACATTTTTTTAAGGCAAATTCCTACTTCTCACTCTTTATCCCATTCCTGCCGGTATACTTTCAAATCTCTTCCTTTCTGATGGTATCTCTATTATATTTTCAACCTCTTGCTCTGCTTTCACTTCTTTCCCTAATATATAAACATGTGTAAATCTCCCTAAAATAAAACAACATGCACACACACAAAAAAATAAACCTGTGTCTTCGGCAAGTTACTGACCTATTCTATCCTTCCTTCTATTTATATGTCTTGGAAGAATAGTCTATCCTCGTATATTTGTCTCAATTCTCCAGAGAAACAGAACCAACAGGATGTATTATACATACAAAGATTTATTTTAAGGAATTGGCTTACAGAACTGTGAAGATTTGGTGAGTCCAAAAAAATAAATAATAAATAAATATAAATATATAGATAGATAGATAGACCAGCAGGCTGGAGATGCAAGGAGAAGTTGCCATCCAAATCCAAAGACAGTCTGGTGGCAGAATTCCTTCTTGTTTAGGGGAGGCCAGTCTTTGTTCTAGGAAGGCCTTCAACTGATTGGATGAGGCCCACCCATGTCGTACAGAGTAATCTGCTTTACTCAACGTCTGTTGACTTAAATGTTAATTTCATCCCAATGACATCTTCATGGAAAATTTGGAAAAGTGTTTGACCAAATATTAGAGCACCATGGTCTGAGCAAGTTGATGTATAAAAGTAACCATCACAGTTTGCTAGATTGGTTCTTTTGTACTCAGTAATGATTCACCCTTTTCAATCAATACCTTATCAATATACTCAAGGCATTTGATGCAGCCACATACTTTGTCCTTTCATTTCCTTTGTAACCCTCTCTCTTGGACTGCTTCCTGTCTCTCTGACCACCGATTTTCAGTTTCCTTTATAGCGCTTCTTCCTTTGCCAGCTTCTTCTTCTTCTTTTTTTAAGATTTTATTTATTCATTCATTCATGAAAAACACAGAGAAAAAGGCAGAGACATAGGCAGAGGGAGAACCAGGCTCCCTGGGGAGCCCAATATGGGACTCGATCCCAAGACCCTGGGATCACCACCTGAGCTCAAGGCAAGCACTCAATCACTGAGCCACCCTTTGCCTATTTCTTAAATGATCCTTAGGGTTGTGCTGCCAGACTGGGTCCTTTCTGTGCTAGTAGCTTGACCTGCTTAAGAGAAAATAAATTTTCAGAACCTCTTCTGGAAACAACAGTTGAAGGATTTGGCAAAGAAACAAAAATGGTATCTAGGCAGTGTGGAGTTGGGGTTGAAGATTATGGACTTCAGAACTTTCAGTCAAGCCTGGGGTTTATATATCAAATGGTCTTAGTGCTACAGATACAAGATTAAAAAGGCTGTTGGTTGAATTTGGGACTTCAGGGAAGATTAAACAGAAGAGCAAAAAACCAACGAAAAAAACAACTGAGAAAAATAAGACAATTTTTAAAGTTCTGGCTCATGGAATCCACGTTGAATAGGGAAAGAAAGACAATCGAAGCTTCTGAGAGTTTATGGGAAATAACAGCCAATTCTGATCTCCCACCGATCACTAGGACTAAGGGAGTCTGTGCTATTGGGTTTAAGCCATAGGTCATGCCCTCCACCCTTGAGTTGGAGGAGACGTCCAATAGAGTGTGGGAAAGTAATGGTTACCCAGAAGGAAATACAGTTATGCTACCATGAAGACTGAATGAATGCTTTATAACAGAGATTGCTGGTTCTCTACCATAATTTCCATTTCTTCCAGAGTATGAGAACCTCTAGTTTTTAGGAAGTGGAATAACAACTGCCTTTCCTCATCTCCTGTAGCTAGGGATAGCCATGTAACTAATTAGCTGGTCAAAGGGATGTGGACAGAAGTGTGTGCAACTTCTGGATTCAGTCCTTAAAGGGAAGGGGATAGCATTCCATTTCCCTTTTACTCCTCTTCTGTCAGCTGGAAAGTGGCTGTGGTGGTGAGCCAATTTGGACCATGAGGAAGAGATTACATCCTAGGGAGGATAGAACAACAGAAGGAACCTATAATCCTTGAATGATCTCATGCAGCCTTCGTGGTCCTATATGAGGGATAATTAAACTACACTTTTTAAAGCTGCTATGTGAACCAGACTAATGCCATCTTGGACAAATCTGTCATGATGACCCCTCTGTGACCTGAAGCCTTCTTGAGTACAGCCTCACAAACACCCCCACCATATTCTTCTTTTTGTTTAACCACACCCTTAAGTACACCCTCAGGGCATAATGTCCCTGATCTGTTTTGGAGATATGGTTATGACACACACCTATTTTCAAACATTCTCCTCCTGGGTGGTCCCCCAGCAAGTATTGCCCAGCTTCTAGGGCTATAAAAGCAGGTCTTATGGGAGGTGGGGTTGCAGGGATCTTCTCATCTTGCTGCCACTGGAGACACGCTGCTGTCTGTAAGTCTCCTTAATAAAAAAACATTTCTTGTCAAGCTGGACTTGTCCGGCCTTTTTCTTTGGTCTTATGCTCCCTTTAGCCTTTGGAGGTTATTCTGCATATACCTCCTTTTGCGGAACAGCCGCTTTTAATGTGGTTCTCTGTGAGCAGTGCCTGGACCTGTAATTCAACTAATTCAAGACAGGCAGTACAAAAATTTAGCTAGGAATATTAATGATTGTAGCAGAAAATAGGGAGTAGTAAGCAATAAACAGAGGCACAGGTAAAAATCAGGGATGCAGGAAAGAATCACTTCAACGCTGTGAGCTTTCAAGAGAGGTCGAAGTGTCTAATCGGTGACAGACTCCAGACTGCATGTGCGTTGGTGTGGTGCAGGCCAGGGAATACACCTAAACAACCTGATTCTTCCGGACAGGGACACAGCAATGGTTCTAGATAGCAATGATGATGGTAGCACGATAGTGACAACTGGCTTCTGCATCAAACGGATGCAAGCATCTTTTGAATCTTGGTATACTTACTGAAATTAATCATGGTTTGGGCGAATGCTTCTTGATCATAGTCATCATAGAAATTTAGACATTTAAGAGTCAAAGAAATCCTAGCAAGCAGAATAACCCGTTCCAACGCAGTTTAAAAAATAAGTCCAGAGACGCTAAGTTAAGTTTTGCGCAAAGCCAGTGGAAGCCAGGCATAATTCCCCGGCCCCTGAAGGCTGAGAGTCTGTACTAAATTTGTAAAGAAGCCCATCAAAGCTTTTTATTCCTCCAGCAAAATTATAACCTCAGGTTGCTATTTGCCATGCCCTCTTTTAATTTTCCATGAGCATACCTTGCAATAGCATAGCACTTTTTAGCTTTCAGAATGTTTTTCACGTATTTTCTCAGATGATCCTGAGAATCAACCTGTGCGAGGCAGTGAGCGGGGAATTAGTAACCTTTCGCTGCTAAGGAAATTGAAGCTCCAAGTCTTCAAGGAATGGTTCCATGGTGAAGCGTCAGTAATTGGCAGAGGGAATGGGAGTATGATGCTCTTACCAATCATCTACTGATTTTCCTGTTATTTGCCCAGCCTTTCCTTTCCTTTATGGAGGAAAAATATTATGTGGCTCATTATGAAATTGGGGTAAGCCTCAGACAACACATTATTTATTCAGGGCTTTTTTGTTATCTAGAGCTGCACTGGCCAGCAGGCAGCCTGTAGCCACAGGAGGCTATTTAGATTTAAATAAAATAAAATCTTAACACCCAGCTCCTCAATCATAGTCCCGTGAAAGGCTCAGGGGTCACACGTGGCCATTGGTTACCCAGTGAACGGCGCGGGTAAGAACATCTCCATCACGTTCGGAGGTTCTGTCGGGCAGCCCGGACGGGCTCTTTTCCATCAGTCCTCAATCTTGCCCTCGAGCTGCGTATAACCCAAGCGCAAAGACTGGTCCCCAAACCCTTCCACTTCCTAAAGCAGATCCGAAAAGGGGTCCTCCCAGCTTTAAAACTGGCAAGAGCGAGAGAAATCGCTTGGCCTAGACGTGCTGCGGGGGGGAGGGTGGGAAGAGCCCAAGAGCGAGCCTCCCACCCAAGTCGGGGCAGCAAGCGGGGGCGACAGGCGACCGCGGCCCACACGCGGGGCGGAAGGAGAGGCAAAGGGGCGGAGCCGAGCGCGGCGCTCGCGGTCACGAGGCCGGGGGCGGGGCCACGGGAGGCGCCGCGGGGCGGGGCGGCGGGGCGGGGCCGGCGGGGGCGGGGCCGGCGGGGAGCCGGGCGGCCGGCGCGCCAGCCCCGCCGTGCGTGCTCACGTGACAGGCCCGCGAGGCCCCGCTCGCGCAGTCGTCCGGACGAGCGAAGATGGCGGCCGAGAGGGAGCCTCCTCCGCTGGGGGACGCGAAGCCCACCGACTTTGAGGAGCTGGAGGACGGAGAGGACCTGTTCACCAGCACTGTGTCCACCTTAGAGGTGAGACCGCGCCGCCGTGGGTGCCGCGCTCCGCTGCCGCCGCGCGTCTCACCTTAGGTGCCTTTCCCCTGGCCGTACTTGTGCCTCCCCACCCCCCGGGTGTGCGGGGACCTGGTCGCGGCGACACCTGTGACGCGGGCCCCACCTCACGTACCTGGACGGCGAGGCTCCCTGGGGAGACCAGCCCGCCGCCGGGGGCCGACCTGAGCCTCCGGGGCCGGGACCTCGCCCGAGCATCGCAGCACCCTTCCCCGCTCAGCCGGCCTTCCTCGGTGTCACTTGCACCCCCTCTCCAGACCACCGAGGGGCTTACCCTGAGTCCCGGTGAACCTCACCACCGCCCTCCCGGCGACCTCCGCAGCCCCTTGGGAGAGGCGCCCGCGTGTCCCTTCCCCCGGGAGGGTGTCCCTGGAAGGGGAGAGCAGGCAACCGGGTGTTGAGTGGCCGTGGCTCCCCGGGGAGCGCTCTCCCAGTCGCGGCCCCGCGCCGACAGCCTGTTCCCCCGGAGGGAGGGGCCTCGGTGTTCTGTTAAATGCACTGAACTGGTTTTTGTCTTCTGTAGTTCCTAGACTTTTTAAGAATAAGAGTGTTTATAAAATATAAAGTTGGGAGGGAGTAGTCCAGGAAGGTGCTGGTAGGTGTGTGTGTGTGTGTGTGTGTGTTTTAAGTTATCACGGAGAAATAACAGATCCTCACACCCTTTTTCCTCTTTTCTCGCATGGTCAGCGATCTCTGAAGTTGAGTGTTCCTGTTTTTGTAAAAGGAAACACCGTTAACTGCATTGGCCTCCTAGATGCACTTTGGGTTTGAATTGCTTTGCATTTGTTGAGGGCGCGCACACCTCCTAGCCCGGTTTTGTGTGTTGTGTTTGTGTGTGTATTAGAATGTAAGCAAATTGCCCAGAAGATTGTTTACCTTGGGCTATATTTCCTTATAGAGTGCTTTTTTTTTTTTTTTTTTTTTAAGTAAGCTTTCTTGGTTCGTGCAACTCGACACCAAATCAATTGGAAATTACTTTCAAATACTCATCATCTGAAATTCATTTCTTGGGAACTTCCGGGAACCGTTTTCCGCACTGACCACACTGTGCAAATTGTGTGTACAGGTTCCCAGTCAGACCCCGCCTCCCCTCAGATCATATGCTTCTTGGGGCTAGGGACAGTGCCTTGATCATCTTTGTGTACCTCCCAGGCTTGAACATTTCCAATTAGTAAATGTTTGCTTGATTCATTGTCAAAATAGCATCTCCTGAGAATTAGTAAGAATTCTCTTGCATAACGAATTGACCTTTTGGATTTAGTATCTTTTTAACTCTTTAAATGTACTGTAAGGCTTTCCTTAAAAAAGGAGAGTATCTATCCAGGATTCAAAGGCCTGTATTTCCTTTGAGGGCTGCAAAGGTTTCCCACCAGCTAGGATCAAAACAAACTATTGACCTAGTAGTGTAAACCAGAATACTGTGAACACTAAGCATTCTGCATAATTGAGGTTTTTTAGAGTTGAGTACAAAGAACTATAATCTGTATTTCCCATTTGGATGGGACTTTTTCATAAGGTTTTTTTTTTTTTTCAATAGAAGTCTACAGAAGTTTGAGTATGAATAAACTTAATCTTGGTTAGTGCACTGTGTAAGTTGTAAAGTTGGTTTTGATTGTACATCCCTTATTTTATAGATTCATTCAGGACTTTAAGGTGGTATAACTGAGATTTGTAAATTCAGAATCTTCTTTTGGTTTCCAAACTATAACAGGAAGGATACACAACAGTGCTTTTCAGTATAGCAAACTGTTCTGAAGGGTTTTTTTTTTTTTTTCATGAACTCTGCTTCTGTTTTCAAAAGTGCTTCTCAAACAGCAGTGTGTCAGGGGATTCTAGTTTGAAATGCAGATGCCTCATTTCAAACTCACTGGAATCTGCATGTATAATAATAAATGCTCTAGATCAGTGGCTTTCAAACTTTATACATAAGTTACCTAGGAATCTTGTTAAAGTACGAATTATGATTCTGTAGGGCTGGGATAAGTCTATTATTATGCATTTTTAATAAACTCCTCATGACTTTCCTTCTGGTCCATAGACAATAATGTGTTGCTAAGCCCCAAATGATTCTGATGCAGATTATCTGCTTTGAATAGTTATTACTAAGCTGTAAATTGAAAGCCATATAACTTAATGTCTTTTAATTAAAGCAAAAGTAAGTCAGTTTTAAAAATTTTATTATTTATATAGAAACTTTCCTTTGAGAGCATTTGGAGGGAAAAAATCAACTGAAATCCATATAGGTGAAAATAAAATTACAGACATTTTCATTGTCATCTTTGTTAAGCTTGTAATGACCATAAACTTAGTGTATATGTATATTTTTATTAACACAGTATTAGATTCCTTTCCATTCACAATCAAGAATAATCACATAAAGCCAAATTCAGTAAACAAAGCATATTTAAAAATCCTATTGTTTGTTTCTGTTTTGACTATGAAATAAGAAATTGGTGAAAGCTGGCATTAGGGGGCAGGGAATGGAATGAGGAGAAAGAATCCAGTGAAAGCTCGTTCTTTTTGGTACCTGAGAGGCAAGGCTTTAAATTGTTTAGGGATACCGCTTTTTCCTTAAATGCTACAACCCTAAGCTTAAAAGGTGCTTACACTAAAACAGCATGGAGACAACACCTTGAAAATGAATAAATAAATAAAGGGATGCCTGAGTGGCTCAGTCCGTTAAGCAACTGTCTTTGGCTCAGGTCCTGATCTGAGGGTCCTAGGAATCCCTGCTCAGCAGGAAGTCCGCTTTCTCCCCTTCCCCAACAACTCTTTCAAGTAAATAAAATCTTTAATAAAAAAAAGTCAGAAAATTTATATTATATCCCTTGTTCTCTATTTTAAACAGCTGTATTGATGCATAATTCACATACCATGCAATTTCACTCATTTAATGTGTACAACTTAATAGTTTTTAATGTATTTATCGATATATGCAACCATCACCACAGTTTTTAGAACATTTTCATCACCTCAAAAAGAAACCCTGTATGTTTTAACTATCATTGCCTGCCCCCCACACCCCAACCTTCAACAACCACTGATTAACTTTCTATCTCTTACAGACTTCTCTGTTCTGGACTTTGTATGAATAAAATCCTATAATTGGTTTTTCATGACTGGCTTCTTTCACTTGCATCATGTTTTCAAGGTCTGTACTTCATTCCTTTTTATAAAATGGAATGAAATGGAGTAATGCTCCATTGAGTGGCTATACCATATTTTGTTTATCCATTCCTCAGTTGATGGACGTATGGGTTGTTTCCATATTTTGGCTATTATGAATAATACTGCAATAGACACATTTATGTACAGGTAGAGTTACTGGGTCCTATGGTAACTCTACATTTAATCATTTGAATAATTGCTAGACCGGTTTCCTAAAGTGGCCACACCATTTTACATTTCCACCAGCCATGTATGAAGGTACCAGTTTCTTCAGATCCTCACCAACACCTGTTATTGTGACTTTTTTTGGTTCTCTTCATCTTAGTGGGTGTGAATGTGTGTGTGTGTGTGTGTAAGATTTTATTTATTCATGAGACACACACACACACACGGGGGGGGGGGGGGCAGAAACACAGGCAGAGGGAGAAGGAGGCTCCATGCAGGGAGCCTGACATGGGACTGGATCCTGGGTCTCCAAGATCAAGCCCTGAACTGAAGGCCCATTGAGCCACCCGGGCTGCCCTGAAGTGTGGTTTTGATTTCATTTTCTTGTTGACTAAAGATGTTGCGTATCTTTTCAAATGCTTGTTGGCCATTTGTATATCTCCTTAGGAATGTCTATTCGGATCCTTTGCTCATTGTTTAATTGAATTGTCTATTACTGAGTTATAAGAATTCTTTATGTATTCTGGGTACGAGTTCCTTACCAGATAATATGATTTGCAGATGTTTTCTCCCGTTCTCTGGGTTGTCTTTTCATGTTCTTGATGGCATCCTTAATAAGTTTAAAAATTGTTTGATGAAATCTAGTTTATTTTTTAAATTTTGTTGCTCATACTTTCACTGTCCTAAGAATTCCCTGCCAAATCCAAGGTCGTGAAGATTTACATATATATTTTCTTCTGAGAATTTTAATGATTTTGGCTCTTTTAGGTCTTTGATCTGTTTTGAGTTAATTTTTGTATTTGGCATGAGGTTTATTCTTTTGCACGTGGCAGTTCAATTGTCCCAGCACCATATGTTGAAAAGACTATTCTTTCCCCATTTGAGTGGTCTTGGCATCCTGGTTGAAAAATCACTTGACCATAGATGTTCACACCTGGTTCTCATGCCAAACTTAAATATAAGGGTCAGTTGAAGTTAAGATGAGGACCATAGTTTTCCCAAGTGTCACATGATAGAAATTATAGAGCATTTCATATTGAGTTTCCAGATGGTCTTAAAATTCCTTTTCTCTAACTCTATGCTCAGAAGATATCTGACTTCATTGACTTCACCCTCCAAATACTTGGGTATTTACTCTCTGCTATACTGTTTAGGTGATCATCAGTGCAGATAGCAAATTACTGCAAATCTTTAAGAACAGAAAATTTCCAGTGGAGAAGAAAGAGATGTTCAGAAAACTCTGGTACAAGTTGTGATTCTATGGTCCGAAAATATACCAGTTTCCACTGAAAATACCATTGAAACACTGGGGAGATTCTCCTTCCTATCGATGTTTCTGACACATAGTAGATGAACAGTAAATGCTTCTCTTGGCTGGGAGAAGCTCATTAAAGACATAATATTTAAGAGAGACCTTGAAGGGGTAATGAAATTTCAGAGTGGAAGAATAGCAAGGGTCACTCAAGAGTCAGTTCATATTCTAGGGAACCATAAAAAATCTGTGTGAGTTGTTGAATATAGGATGTTACACGTTTACTATGTGGTGAGATTGTGAAGGGCTTTGGAATTTGTTATATAAGTGGGTGAGAGCTATGAAAGATTTTTCTGGCAGTTAACATGATCACCTG